GTGTATGTGTGTATGTGTGTATGTGTGTATGTGTGTATGTGTGTATGTGTGTATGTGTGTATGTGTGTATGTGTGTATGTGTGTATGTGTGTATGTGTGTATGTGTGTATGTGTGTATGTGTGTATGTGTGTATGTGTGTATGTGTGTATGTGTGTATGTGTGTATGTGTGTATGTGTGTATGTGTGTATGATCAGAATCCATGTTCGACTATCCATAAATCTTGGCATAGTTTGAATCTTCTGATTAGTTTCTTTAGCAGCGTCCAAGATTGGTACAGATATTTATTCCACAGTATACAGACTGACGTTTCGGCAAACTCGCCTTCTTCAGAGTCTGAAAAGTCGAAAACACATAAGTGAACTATCCGATCAAACACCTTATCGACTACAGAAAAGAGCCCAACCCTCTAGACAAGCAACAGTATCAACCAAAACGCAAGATTAAGCTAGTGCTCACCTTAACAGATGATAGATTTGGCGGGTGCAGACCACTTATGTCAAAAACTGTACTGCATTACTTTTATACTAATCTAGTGACCCGGTCCTGACCTGACCTCATTATTCAAAAGCCACAAAGGCTCTGATAAGGTGACAGCTCGTTAGTAATGGCTAGGCACTCATCCTTCCGGTTGATTTTTGGATTTTGGGCGGCTATCCAAAACGCTTCGAGTGTCTTGCGCGCTAGGATTTCGGGTTCACGCGCCAGGATTCGAACCTGCACTCCCACCTCCGCGTCGTCATGGCTGAGCCTGCGATGCATGCCTAACGGAGTAGCTACATTGCCCTTGCTGAGACCATCTAAGTGTTCTTTGATGCGCGTACATAGGGGGCGGCCTGTCTCGCCAATATACGTGTCTCCACATGTTGTACACGTGATAAGGTAGACAACACCTGATACCATACAGTCTCCTTCCTTGCCAAACGGACAAACTACACAATGAGGAGTTGTACAGAGACGATCATACTCGCGGTTTCGTACCAGTTGTTGCTTAAGGTTTGCAGGAGGAATATCGACGATCCTTACTATGTCGTTGAGGTCTGCTTGATGGAGCACTTTGCGAACAGCCCTACTAAACTCTTCTGAGATGTATGGTAGACAGAATGAGATCTGATCTTCAGCTTCTGGTCTAGGCGGACGATGAACCCGGGATCTGTGAGGACGATGAGTCTCCGTGCTATATCCATTGGATCTTGCTACGGATCTAGCGAGTTCCAGCGAGTGCATCTTTTCTTCTCTATCAGAAGAGACCCCTGCAGCCGTTCTAAACATGTTCCCTATGATGGATGCTTTTATTCGTGCAGGATGTGCAGAAGTATGGTGTACCAAAATATTCTTGCTACTCGGCTTTCGGTACCATCTGGTCTTGAAACGTCTATCTGACAAGCATAACTGCACGTTGAGGAACGGCAGCCATCCATCTTTGGGTTTCTCCCTCGTCATCTTGATGTTCCTGTCCTGGGCATTCATGATATTGAAGCAAGAATCAAGTTCGGCCTGAGTGGGACACACGATACAGCAGTCGTCCACGTACCGACAGTAGAGGAGAGGCTTGCTTGCCAGTACCGGAGCTTCCACCTTGGACATGAAAACAATAGCTAAAGTCGGCGCTAGTCTTTGTCCCATAGCCAGTCCTCTTATCTGCCTGTAATAGTTGCCGCACCAACGAAAGATGGAGCAGTTGAGGCATTCCTTAACCAACGACAAGATGCCTCTGATGCTAAGACCGTAAAGATTAAGTGACGACTGGTGTTCTAGAAGAAGTTCGAATGTCGCTTGCATCGCGGCGTCGTTGGAAACGTTGGTATAGAGCGATTCCACATCGAAAGACTCCAAAACGCACCCTTGCCTTACACTTGTGCTGCGCAGGCGATCAAGAAACATTTTCGTGTTGGAGAGATGTGCGGGAACAAATCTGAGCAGTTGAGAAAGGATGGTGTTGAGAAACCACGAAATCCTATCCGTAGGACCTCCAACGCTGCTGATGATAGGCCTAACCTTAAAATCCTTTGGGTTATTGGACGTTAAACTATCTACGGACACCTTATGTGTCTTGATAAGAGTGTATAGAACAGGACATATAGGCAGATCGGTCTTTAGACGTGTAGCCATAGCCCTAGGAATGCCTTCAGCTTTAGCCACCTCTAACCATACCCTGTTTAAGCGGCGGTACTGCTTTCTGAAATCGTTTGCTGCCACAGGCTCATATACGGTAGTATCCTGTAGATGATGTTTCGTGATAGCCATGTCCAGATCACGAGAGAGAACTACAAACTCTCCTCCTTTGTCGCTGACCGACACCTTGATCTCCCCGGCAGCACAAAGGTCGCGAATTTCGCGCAGGCCGCGGCGTTGCAAAAGTGATAAATTACTATTTTGCCGTTTTGCGCGGAATTGGTTGAGAACTGAGAAGAGCCCGGTAGCAAATACTCGAAACTTTGCATCCACTGGTTGATTAGGCTCCTGCGGTTTATAAACTAAACGTGGAAAAGGTATAACTG